GTCTTCTAGCTTACCGTGCCAGACGCTATACCAACTAAGCCACGGAAAGATATTATACGGATTTTTTATATAATAAAAAAAATTGGATTGTAGCTGTTATTACAGGATAAACAATTATAACTCAAATGCTTTTATTACTACAGATTGAATACCTTTGTCTTCTGAATTTCATGGACATTTTAGCAAACTCTCTTATATTGGCCTAACTAACCGTGACCATGGGACCTGTAAAGGGCCCGAAACGTCGGTTTGTTTGAAAAAACAAATATACGCGATGTAAATCCGGAAAAATAGTTTCACTTCCTATGTGTAACAATCGCGAAAACCTAAGAACTCGATAATTTTTTTTGTTTAAAATAAAATAGATCTGTCCCTATTTTAAGCCCATGGCTTGTCTGGAATGTCATGTGGCTGTAAAATTTCCTTCTGACAGTTTTTTCGGTGTGATAAACATATATCACAACTGTGAATCATATTTGCCAAATACAGATTCTCTATTACTACGTTTACTTTTTTCTGTGCCCATATGCCCTATATGAAGGTTATTTAAAATTTATTTTCTTAATGTTTTAGGAATAACTATTCTCTGATCCTTCTAAATAATACCAAAAGCTTGTGTTAAATTTTCTTTGCAATTCCAATACGGATTAACCTCGTCTATAATTTTATTTTTATCAGAAGGCCACCCATTCAAAATATATTGTTTAAGTGAATATAATTCATCATTTTTTTCTGTGTATTTTCGTATTCGCACTAATTGAACATCATCAAATTGGTGTGACGCTTTTGCTATCATATCGCGAGTCACCGTACACACCTCGTCGTGCTCTGAACTGAATGAATGGTCTGCAAAGTGACTCAGTGGGGTAGAATCGCCAACCTCATGCGCCCGCGACAACGTGTCTGCAATGTGCATATATTTACCTGGCTTATAAACAAGTTTAAAAGTATAACGCTGGAACCGTAACAACATTCTTTGCAAACGCGCGGGAGAATCTACAATCGGTTTTTTCGTTATGCTTATTAATGGCTTATGATCGGTTTCAATAACTATCTCTGATCTACCAAATATATAAACATTGAATCTTTCACAAACAAATAACACCACATAAAGCTCTTTTTCGATTTGAGCATATTTTCTTTCGGCTTTGTATAATGCTTTTGAAGCATACATACGGTAGGTTATCTTGCAGTAATCATGCACCTAGACCGGTTTTACTAGCATCTACTGACATTAAAATTGGTTTTCTCATATCTAAATATTGCAGTACAGGACGGCTTGACAAATATTTTTTTATTTCCGAAAAGCATTTGTCGCTCCCGTCATACCATTGCCATTCGGTGCCTTTCTTTAAGAGGGAGCATGCCAAAAAAGTTTTGACGTTGGCTCCGCCCACATTTGTGAGACAAATATATGCCTGAAGTTCGCGTGACATGCGACAGGAGAT